AAAAACCTAATCTTATATGGCTGGCCAAACTACAAATCAGCAGTCCCTGAAAGCTGCAAGAAATACTGGCCATATAGAGATGAACTCTCGACAAACGAAGACCTAATCTTCAAAGGTAGCAGAGTCTTCATTCCCCTAAGGTGGAAAGCAAAGATACTCAAGTTAATCCACGAAGGACACCAAGGAACAAACAGCTGCTTGAGAAGGGCCCGAGACTCAATATACTGGCATGGCATGTCCCAAGACATCATCAACACAGTAGAAAATTGTAGGACTTGCCAAGCGAATCAGAGGAGCAAGACAAAAGAACCAATGATCATAAAAGAGATACCGAGTCTTCCTTGGGAGATAGTCGCAGCTGACATTTTTTCAATAAAAGGAAAAAATTACCTGTTAATAACAGATAACTACTCTGGATTCATTGATTTCAAAGAAATGAAGACAATGAACTCTGCAGAAACTATTGAATCTCTTAAAAAATGGTTTAGCGTACATGGAATTCCCAGACTCCTGGAAACTGATAATGGACCAAACTTTACGTCCAGGGACTTTAAAGACTTTCAAAAGAAGTGGTTGTTTGACCACCAGACATCAAGTCCTCTATATCCAAAATCAAATGGATTAGCAGAGAGAGCGGTACAGACAGCCAAGAACCTCATCAGGAAGTGTTTGGATTCAGGACAAGAAGTGGAACTAGCACTTTTGAACTTTTACAACACTCCTAGAGATGGTCTTCCTTCACCGGCTCAGTGTCTGTTCAGTCGCAGGACCAGAACCCTCCTTCCCACTAGCACTCATCAGTTGGAACCAGAAATCCAAAAGGAACATACACAAAACCTAAGAAATAAGCGGGAGAAGCAGAAAACACACCACGATAAGACAGCAAAGACAACCCGAAGCTTCAAGGAAGGTGAAAAGATAATGCTGAAACAGCATCACCGTGAATGGATCCCTGCCAGAGTTACCCAAGAAGTAGCTCCAAGATCATATAAAGTGCAAACACCTACTGGTGAGTACCGCCGCAACAGCTCCTTCATGCGACATACGAATCTGGAGAGTCCAAAGCAACAGCGAAGAGAATCCCCGGTGATAAGGAACAGGCTCAAGTTCCCGAAGAACTCAATACTTCTCCAAGAGCATTCTCAGGCCAGGAACCCAGGAGTGATCACCAGAACGCGGAGCACAAGAACGGCACCCTGCCCATTACAACAAGGTCCGGGCGAATCATCAAGCCACCCAAACGATTTGAAGAATGAATTTCTTCAAAGGGGGAGATGTAACGGCAGCTGGCATGCCTATATAGTAAATTATCAGTGAGCACATATTTATCACTGATGATACTCTGTGCAGTTGCCTTTTGACTGATTGTAATATATACCACATGTAAACATATGTCTGATAATTAATATGCTATATCTTATGTTGGCCTAAAAGAAATAAAGTCTTTTCTTTTTAAACCTCCAAGTACTTCTTGCTGATTAACGTCAACCAACAAATACGAGGACGTTACAGTTAGGGTTTTGAGGGTCTGGGAATGTATTGTGTTTAAGTCTGGATGGGGTAGGGTAAGTTGATATAAAGTATTTAGATGGGGTGTGCCAACTGACAAAAGTCCTCCAAGGTGTTTGGTAATGAAGCTGTCTAGAAGTTGTTAACAAACAAGAATTCATTTTATGGTGTGAAAGGGGGGTTTGGAGGTTGGAGATACCTTCGCAAAGGACCGATACTTGTTCCACCAGAATGGCGTTGTATTTATTGTTGGAGAGCAATTTTTCTGCAGCAATGGTTACCAGCATTTATACATGTATGATGATGATAAAAATAACAATATCAATAACGATAATAATCTTTGAATACGAGAATATACAACAGCCAATGTGTCTGAAGGCTAAACTAAGATGTTTAAGTACTTTTAAGCACTCCAAAGGTCTTAGTTCATCACAAATGATGATAATCAAAGTGCAGAAGTCTCCAAATGAGTGGAAAAGATCTGGTTAAAATTACAACAGAGAGTCAAAAAGAGAGCGAATTTAATAAAAATAAGTATATCAAGACAAGTGGGTAAAAAATGTAATATGATTTTCAAAATATTTATAACTCAAAACTATAAAAATAGGTGTTATAAATTCTTAAATAAAACAAAAGATTAGGGTTTTCAAGAAAACGAATGGGTCATTTTAATGATAATAACGCGATAATTTCACGAACACAGAATAATAAAAGTTGATTTAAAATTTTTACTCAACTTTTATGATTTTTGCGATATTATATATTTTTGCTCTCTTTAGAACGTTCATACCTTAAGGTCTTAAATTGGCTTCTTTCATTCATTTATTTTTTAAAATTAAAAGCATTTGAAACATTTCAATTTTTAAAATACATTATACATTTTTTTCAGAATATAATTTTTCTAAAATTAATTCAACTACTGCAAGAAATTCTGTTTTGGAACTCACAAGTTTTTTTTCTCTCTCATAGATTTGATGATTAGAGAATCTCTTAAATCCGTATCTATCTTGTATCTATATATTTTAAAATCTTTCAAATTTCAATTTTTAAATAAATTATTGCCTCTTATTTATATTAAAGAGTTAAAAAGTATCTTTTCAGCGTAATTTATAAACTAAATTGCTAAAATGTTTCTGGTTCAAGTCACGTGATAACCCACAGCCAATAAACAACGTCTTTTATACAATGCCCAGCTGATTGCTGTGCCAAAGATGGTGGCCGTGTCCAAATTTGTGTCATTTTTCAATCAAACTCAAAATTTTTATAGTTATGTCCACATTGAAAACCTCTTTCCAGCAAATTATGAAAATTCCATCTAAGTCCAATAACATTGAAACAATTTTTAATGACACCGACACGACATCTTTTAAATCTTGCAAAAAGAAAGAGACAAAAAGTAAGCCTAACTTAATAAATTTACCAAGTGCAAAATCACCGCATAAAACTAATAAAAATGGTTCACCATCAAATAATGAAAGGGCTAAATATGCTCCAAGTATGGACAAAAGTGAAGAAGGTGCATTTGCAGAAGATTCGTACGTATTCAAACCAAAGACCAATCGGATCAAGGAATGCATTATTCAATCAATTAGGTAAGTTAAAATTATTTTTCAAGAGATAAAAGTGAAAATTTTTATTTAGAAACACAGATAAATCATTAAATTACGAAAATTATATGATGACTTAAGATAAAAATTGATTAATCTTGAGTGATTAAAAAAATAACCATTTAAATGTCCCCAAATCTTAATGCATCTGCAATATTTTTGTCACTTTAAAGTTGCGGGAAGGTTTTAGCAGCTTTTCACATTAAAAAGTATAAGTTAAATTTACAAATATCTCAGATAACTATGAAAATGTACATCTGTCAAAATTTGTTGCAAAATAAAAATGCCAGATGGTACAGTTTCCGAGTTATTCCGAATAAAAATTTAACTTTTAAATAATAACGATTTAAGATATTTAGACTTTCTAGCTATCAAGGGTATATATATATTTAAAAATATTTTAATTAACTATAAAATTATTTTTAAAAATATATATATACATAGGTTTTTTAATATTAAATAATTTTGTATTAAAAGAGTAAAATGGGTAATTTTTTGAAGTTAAAATTTTAAAAACAAACAACATTTATTGTAGGTGCTGGCTTTAATTATGATGATGTTCTCATACTTATCATGGATTATCATCAATTAATGGAAGTCCTAAATTAACCAAGACTAATACAGAAGGAACCAACCATCATGGTCTCAACAGACATCAAGTTTCCAGATTATAAACTTGCCATAACTATCACAATAAGCTAAAGGACAAGGTAATAAGACCAAATCCAAATAAATAAATAGTGTGTGACGTTTCAGTAACAACACTGTTACCGAAACGTCACACACTATTTATTTATTTAGATTTGGTCTTATTACCTTATGTTTATAATCTATAATCCAAATTGTGCCTTATCAATAAGCTAAAAGAAAATACTTTCCCATGTGCTACACCAAGCACCACAAAGAACCAACCTTCACTTAATTGCATAGATCCACTGCCCCATATATCCATATTTACCTAAATCACTGTATTTTTCTAAAATTGGCAGAAAAACCAAATACAATATTAAAAACTCATACCTGCTTGGCTTTTCTTTATTTATCAAGAAATTGGGTTGGTCAAATATCATGGAACAAGTTGAATCAACATTTAGTTGATTTTTGTTCCACTAGATGGCGCTCTGCCATCTAAAATCTCTCATATGAGCCGTCAGGGTATATCTTTTTTGTTTTTAGCTAGCCGAATGACCTGAGCAACGCCCGGGTTTTACCCGAGAGCATTTCTTGCCCCCTACGCTGTCATTACGTCTTATATCACTCTTGTGAAATGTCCTGCTCCACCTCCCCCACACACCAATCCCCATCGCGCCGTGGGCCATCCTCCCGCAGCTGGATTCCACCCATCTTCCCCAACTTATCTCCGTTTCCGCAGTGAGGTCTTCTCCTTCCTTATCTCCACTCAATCATATTAGGGTATCAAGTTGTGACCCTTGATGGTGTCTGTTTGACAACCATCATGACTGGGTGAAGTAGAATGCGTCTGCCTTTGTCATTAAGATTGGGAGCATTACTCAGTGGCAGGCCGACTTAGCTCCAAAAGAAATGGCTGCCTCTGACATGAGGAACAGACGCCATGTGTAGCCGCTCCTAACATGGAGTACAAACGCTGCTCATCCTGTATCCCTGAAGCCCTTACAGGGTACTATCAGCCGGGCCAGCTGAACCCAGGTTTTTTAGTGAGCTTGTTACTGTTCCCCCTCCTCCTTTTTTATTTGGGGTTGGGACCAGCAAAAGCGGAGTGTGTTTCTCCAAATTAATCCCCAGACCACACTCTACTATCGTATTGGATTGTTAGAGGTAATATTTAATGATAAATATCAAAAGAAACACATCATCAAAAATGTTTTTATTTTATTGGCAATTGAAATTCTAATTGTCAAGAAGGGTTGGTGGTTGAGTGGTCTAAACTGTTGGTTTTCAACCATTAGGACCTGGGATCAAATCTTGCATTGAGCACTTTTTTTTTTTTTTTTTTCTAATTAAAAAAATGCTCCAATAGCCCCCCGATTCTTGAAAAAGTCCAACTCCACCAGCGAGTGCAAGTAACCAAACGGGGCTCTGGCACACCTGTAAGTTTAAAAATCAAGCTGCTTTTCATATGTATAGACATGTGGTACACTTACAGTAAAAATAGTCGCCAACTTCAATTCCATAGGAATATCAAACCCTTTCCACCACCATTCTGTCCCTGTAGGATACCATTACAACTTTCAATTTAATTCCTTTCTGCCTCCATTCTGTCCCTATAGGATTGCTGTTGGAATATATCTCAATAAAATATTTGACTCAGCAATGGTTGTTAAATATGCTTTTATTTAGAATTACAGTATACATATATAATAAAATAAAGTTTTAAAAAAAAGGGGGAGTAAAGAATGGCGTGTGTGAGACTGCATGTGTGAGACCATGGCAACAACTAAGAGATAATTAGTCACCAGTGTCCTGTGCATGTTATTCTAAGGAGTACAGTGTCAAAGCTGCATCGTGTGATATCTTCATGCCAGCAAACTCCCCTGCAAAGTGATCTCTTACTTGCTCACAAGGAGCACTTAGGATTCTTGAGCTATGAACTTTGTGGAACTTTATTCCCAGTGGTCTAGTTGTTTTTCTTCCACTTGAACATAGCACAGTTCGGTCAGGCATTACTCTGGATCCTCAAAGTCATTCGATAGGCCGGGCCAAAGGAGGAACTTGGGTATAAGCTACATGATCCTCATTGTGTTCTATTGGCCTTGCATTCAATGGCTAGATAATTTTCAATTTCTTGTTGAGTATAGCTGTAGTGTTCATCTGAAGGAAGCAGTTCTTGACTGTTGTCTTCCCTTGATACAACGTCCTTTTTGAAGTCACCAGTCCTGAGATTTCACAACTACTCAGGTATCCATGCTCTCTGTCTTCTGGGTACATAGCCAACAAGGTTGCCCCTGACATCCAATTTGGATTTCCTAACTTGTCTTGGAATGTGTGCATGCACTCTGCAGCCATTCTCTCTTAAATAGGTTTGTTCAATGTGCATAGCTCATCCAGCGTTCATTCTGGCAGTTTCTGGCAGCTCTGCCCAGGACATCACTTCCACATATCCTGACAAGATTCAAGAGAGCCCTATTCATCCTCTCTGCCAACCCATTTTGTTGGAGTGGATATGTCATTGAATGCTAATGAACAATTCCAAAGCTCTTGCAGAAATCGTCCCATTCTGTTGAACAAAATTCCCAACCACTTTCTGTATGGTTTCATTGTTATTGGTTTGTTTTTAAAGATTCTTGAATCCAATGTTTGAAGAGTTTCACCTTTGGTTTTCAGGGAAGCACTCGCATATCTCGTGGCTTCATCATTGATAGTCAAAGTGTACTTGATAAGTGGACCCATCAAGTCTACATGCACCAAGTCCAAAGGCAGGATTTCCTCATCCTTTTTGTGTAAGTGGGAATGGGCAGTCTTCACATTTTCCTGGCTTGATATATCCAGTCGCAATCACACTTTGGTTCTTGTCCATCTATTGTGTCTATTATGAACAAAGGCATCTCCTTATCGTGCAACTTTAAGTTGCACGATAAGGAGATGTCTTTTTTCATAATTTATGCACCTTATCCCAGTACAATATTACATTTGTACTATTTTTCCATATTGTGTCTATATTTACATGCATCTATATATTGTGCCAATGGTCCAATTTTCTTGTATTCAGATGCAAGAAAAATATGATCATTTTGATCTGGTGGTGAAGATGGAGCAGTTTGAATGTAGCCTATCCAGCTTCCTTTCCTCTATCAGGAGTTTGTCTTTCATATGAGGCAACCACTTGTTGTAAACAACTTTCTTGTTGTTTTCTGCTATTTGGAGCACCGAAAGAACACTTGTGTTGAATTCCTGGAACATGTATTCCAAGCAATAAAATTATTAACATCTCTCTCTGTCCACACTGTTAGTCTACACTGATTCAACAAGCTTCTTTTGAAGAGCAACAGTGACAATACTCAAATTGCTTGTTACATTCCTTTAGACCCATGAAATGGTCTCTGTTTGGAGTCAGTGATTTCATTGATTTAATTAATTGATTTATATATAGTGATTTATTTGATATAGTGATTTATTTGATATAGTGATTTATTTAATTTATGGGAGTCTTGTGGCTCCAGAATCCCAGATCTCAGAAGTGGCTCCAAGCAAACTTCCACCCATTATTACACCTTTATTTTGGTTAAACCTTTTTGGTCTTTGTTCATTTTTCCATTTCTTTCTACATTCCTTTGCAAATGGCCTTTGTTTCCACATTTGAGACAAATAACCTTCTTCTTCTTTCTTATCTCCACACTGGGTGAAGTAGAATGTGTCTACCTTTGTCATTAAGACTGAGAGCACTACTCATGGCAGGCCGACTTAGCTCCACAAAAAAAAAAAGGCCGCCTCTGACATGAGGAACAGACGCCATGTGCAGCCGCTCCTAACATGGAGTACAGACGTTGCTCATCCTGTATCCCTGGAGTCCTTACAGGGTACTATCAGCTGAGCCCAGGTATTTTACCGAGCTTGTTACTGCTCCCCCTCCTCCATCCGGGCTTGGGACCAGCAAAGACGGAGTTACAAATAATCTTCACTCTGCATATCTTTCCATTTTCAATAGGCTTCAAAGAATCATTAGATGGCATCTTTAGACAAATTATAAGAGCATATTTCAGCTTCTGCTCGCAGCTGTCTTGTGGTGGTTTTTGAAGTTAGATTCTGTCTAGTTACATATTGTCAAGACCAGTGCATCCTCTGGAAATCCGCACAAATGAATCAATGCTATATCACAGTTGCCAATTTGGTATAATTCATTCACTATAGGGGCTCAGTGGAAGGATGGTCTAAACTGTTGGTTTTTGACCGCTACGACCCGGGTTCGATTCCCGCATTGGACACTTTTTTTCTGATAAAAGAAATGCTCCAGTGGTCCCCGATTCTTGCAAAAGTCCAACCCTACCAGCGAGTGCAAGTAAACAAACAGGACTCTGGCACATTTGTAAGTGCAAAGTTGAACTGCTTTTCACATATGTAGACATGTGGTGCACTTACAGTAAAAGCAGTCGTCTTCTACCCACCATGATTATCATGGCCTGTACCACGTGTACTAGGGATAAGCAAAAAAAAAAATGTCTAGTTCATTTCCCCCCTTCCATATTATAGATATGCTAAGTCTTTCACAGTACAACTGCCTTCTTAGTTGTCTTTGGTGCATTTAGTAGCTCCACAGCCTTTGGGAGTAATGATAAACCACAATTTGGATTATAGATTATAGCTACAAGAAATTAAGACCTAATCCAAATAAATTAATAGTGTGTGATGTTTCAGTGACAGCATTATAAACACAAGGTAATAAGACCAAATCCAAATAAATAAATAGTGTGTGACGTTTCGGTAACAGCGTTGTTGTTACCATCTTCAGACAAAAGTACTGAATGAGAAATTTTACCACAGCATGTTTTCTCATTCAGTACTTTTGTCTGAAGATAGTAACAACGCTGTTACCGAAACGTTACACACTATTTATTTGGATTTGGTCTTATTACCTTGTGTTTATAATCTATAATCCAAATTGTGCCTTATCAGTGACAGCATTGTTACCATCATCAGAAAAAAGAATAATTTGATAAGGCACACTTCAGTAATTCAGTACTTTTGTCTGAAGATGGTAACAACACTGTTACCGAAACGTCACACACTATTTATTTATTTGGATTAGGTCTTAATTTCTTGTATCTTTAGGAGAGTACTCGAATGATGGACATGAAGTTGTCATTAACATAGGCATTTCCCTTCCATGACAAGTAAGGCTTTGTTTCCATTACATCAGTTGGGTCGGGGGCCTAAACTTTCCAGGATCAATCAAACTTCACAAATAATTTTCAATTAAAATGAGTTTCATCTGAAAACATCAATTTGAATAATTTGTATCATTCTACAACAGAATTATCATATCAATCTTTTTTTATTTTTTTGGGAGAGAGTGAAAGAAAATAAATCAGATTTTAAGCTTACACTCATGGCAAAACTTAAAGAAGTGGAAAGTCTGATATCTCTGGTCGTCTATTTTTGTTTAAGGTGTGACAGAGGTTGTTCACACTTGGTTATCTTGTGTGTCTTCAATAAAGGTCACTGTGTATCAAATTTCTTTCAGTGTTATTGTCTAAATCCCGATATACAGGCTAAAAGGTACAACTTCCTTAAGTTTTGTCCATGAGTGTATCTTTCATAGTTATTGTCTGAATCCTGATATACAGGCTAAAAGGTACAACTTAAGTTTTGTCCATGAGTGTATCTTTCAGAGTTATTGTCTGAATCCCGATATACATGTTAAAAGGTACAACTTCCTTAAGTTTTGTCCATCAGTGTATCTTTCAGAGTTATTGTCTGAATCCCGATATACATGCTAAAAGGTACAACTTCCTTAAGTTTTGTCCATGAATGTATCTTTCAGAGTTATTGTATGAATCCCGATATACATGCTAAAAGATACAACTTCCTTAAGTTTTGTCCATGAATGTATCTTTCAGAGTTATTGTCTGAATCCCGGTATACATGCTAAAAGGTTCAACTTCCTTAAGTTTTGTCCATGGCTGTATCTTTCAGAGTTCTTGTCTGATCCCGATATACATGCTAAAAGGTACAACTTCCTTAAGTTTTGTCCATGAATGTATCTTTCAGAGTTATTGTATGAATTCCGATATACATGCTAAAAGGTACAACTTCCTTAAGCTTTGCACATGAGTGTATCTTTCAGAGCTATTGTCTGAATCTCGATATACATGCTAAAAGGTACAACTTGAGTTTTGTCCATGAGTGTATCTTTCAGAGTTATTGTCTGAATCTCGATATACATGCTAAAAGGTACAACTTAAGTTTTGTCCATGAGTGTATCTTTCAGAGTTATTGTCTGAATCTCGATATAAATGCTAAAAGGTACAACTTAAGTTTTG